GAGCAGTATTACTGGAGTAAGGAGTTAGAGAGAATCCACGTCGACGTGCTTCCTGCCTGGCTTCACGTAGTGTGAGTCCAAGTTTGAATCTGAGAGTTGCTACCTCAGATTCAAATTTGTAGGTGGGACAGCCCCTATAAAATACATTATGGGGGCCGCCACAGTTGGCACACGTGCGTGATTGTGCAGAGCAGTTAGATCGGGTATGGCCAGGTTGGGCACATAGTGGGCGTCTGGCTGTGGAACGGCAATGTTTGGCTGGGTGTCCTAGACGCCAACAATTTTGGCACTGACGTGGAGGAGGTTGGTATGGACGAACAGGGAGGGATTCTCCTCCTATGTAAACGTTAAAGGGAAGGTCATGTCTACGGAAGGTAATTTTGGCTATGTTAGTGGGTTTCTTTCGATGACCTCTGGGGGGAATGGAGTAGCATTGTACTGATGTTGCATCATAGTCTGTGAGACAGGCAAGTAGATCTTCTCCACAATCTGACCAATCTTTGTCATAGATTGGGCAATTTGCTGGGGAGATTGAGACTGTTCCGGTGCAAGTATTGAGGGTTGGATGGGGTTCTGCAAGGATGGGGTTACCATATAGGTCAGTTTTGTTAATGCTATAGCTTGGTTTTCGGATGTTACTGTGACAAGACGGGAGCAGTCGGGTCGGCTACGGAAAGAGACTTTACCCACTTGTTTTTGGAGGCATTGTTGGAAGAGAAGGGTGTTGTCAGAGTAGGGAGCTGTGGGAGGGATCACGAAAAATCGGTCCCATTTGGCTGCACTAAAGAGAGTATTCAAGATTGTTTTAGAAATAGGGGTGGTAGAAGGGCGGGGGCGTGACGAAGATGGAGTAGTGTTGAGGGAGGTAGTGTTATGGAAATGTGGGCTATAAGGCTGTAAGGTATTAATAAGGGAGGATGGGGTGGTTGATGTTGGAGGTTGTGGGGGTAGAGGTGTTGAAGTTGAGCATGCTGGGAGAGTGGAAATGTTCCTTGAGGGTTGATTGTTGGCTACTGTACTAGTAGGCATTGGTGAAGGGGTAGTTATTGCAGTGTTCAGAGCAGTGGTCAAAGGAGAGCCTGGGGTCGGGGAATCGGGTGGGTTTACTTCGTTAGGGCTATTTGATAAAGGGGCAAGCCTCATTGCCCCTAACAGTGGGGATATATTTTCATTACTGGCCATGGTAAGCCTGGATTATGTTGGGGATAAAAACAGTCCACCCCTCAGGGTCCCCATTGAGGGGTAAGGGCTAGATAACTAAAATCAGGGGAATACCGTGCCCATAGCTCCCTCAGGCCGTTCAGGACTGGCACAAAGTCAGCCTTTCATCCTTTCAGCACGGCTCTCACACCTTAAGAGGTGGATAGCAGAAGGGTTTGGTGAAGGGACAGAAACAAAAGTGGGAAGGGAAAAAAAAGACCATGCATAATTAGTTGAGTCGAGGGCTGAGTCCCAAGGTTGGGGAGTTCCCCATCATTGGGTCCCAGTCTCCGCCTCCTAAGCCCCCCCACGACAACAACGGGCAAGGGATTGGGGGGGGGAGGACTGTATAAAGAATGCCTGCAAAGGAAGTAACCATTTAACATGCATTATAATTTTCAGCAAACCGCATTCACTTCGCCCGTAACCTCCACACATTTCTTTATAGAGGATCATAATTGTAGGTGTAATTACACAGTATTACAATACTTTACTACTTTATGTATATATATATGCAACACCCATACTCAAGTCTCTCCTGCATATTCTTGGTTTGATGAAGTATTGGTCACTAAGTATAATTCTATAATTCAATTGCACTGTTTTCTAGACTTAATGCCCCCAGGATGTGTGGGCGATGTGCATTGCCACGGTGTTGGTGACTGTGGTGTGGATGGGGGGGGGGGGGGTGTAAGGGTATGTGGAGTGGCTATCGTATGTTGCTGTGTGGTATGAAGGTTTTGTGGGGTGGTGCTGCGGTATAGAGTCTATATCTTTGGGCGCACGCACAGTCCGTGTATCGTTTTCTGCCGGGTCAACATCTAAGGTAATTAGCAGCATATTCAATATATAGTGATAGGGTTGGCTTGGAGGCGAAGCCCTTAGGTCTCAAGACACCCCACGACAACGAGGAGCATGGGATTGAGAGGGGGGAGGGTGTACCTTGTGTTCTGAATTTTTCTACCAAGATTTTACTGTAATTTCAAAGCAAGAGAAAAATTGTAGCATATAAGCAGTGGGTCAAGAAAACTGGAGTGCAGTTTCATTGTGCGAGAATAGCAGAACCTAATTGATAAGTCCAATATGCGAAGCTGAGCCTCGCCCGGGCTATGGGGGAGCCCGGCCTGTGCCGACTAATGTCGACTCGCTAACAGTGTGTCAGCAGGTGCTGACTCGGCAGAGCTTAGTCCTTACCCACCGTGGTGCCCAGCCACAGCAGTAACCTCCAGACGACAATTGCAACTTCTCGCGCCTGGGCGGGGCGCGAACCGCCGACCCCTCGGATGAGAGGCCGACACGTTACCACTGTACTAGCCTGGAGGCTATATTGATGATTTCTAAATCTACCGCAGGTAACCGATTAGAAAAGAAGAGGCCCATTAGAAGTGTAAAGTCCCCATGCAATGTGGAACGCAAAAATGGGTTGCACACCTATCCCATAGCAAGGTCAAGGAACATTAAAAAAACAAAAACAACATATACATTAAAAATTTATTCTTAAAAACGGTATTAAAAAGCATTAATTTACCCATCGACTTCCTTATTTTAAAAAGCTCTGAAAGTCAACCTGTGACTCTCGAGTGGAATTATATAATTGTCCTCCACCCACTTCGTGTTCATCGCCTTCCGAGTCGCCGCACGCAGGGAGCTCTCGGGTGAACACCTTCAGCAAACCCGACGTTGCTAGTTTCTTAACGTCGTCGGCCACTTTCCGGAGCTCTTCCCTTCTGACCTTCGAGAACCCCCTCTCGGCCAGTCGTTGGACTCCTCCGGCTCGTAGGACCTTCTCTATCCCGTGTTCCACTAGATTTCGCATTCCTGTTTCGAATGTTTTCTTTAGGATGGGGTTGGTGCTACTTCTCCTTTTCTGTGTGGCCTTCCGGATGCCACTGAGCCCTACTTTGGCCACTAGCGAACCCGCCATTTTGACCTGAGTACTTGCACTTACAGGAGCCATCTTGTCTACTCACTTTGACGGGAAAATCTTGTATCTGTTGCTGGAACAAATCCTGTCTGAAAAGAAAAATATTGCATTTAGTATTATGTACCCAGCTACTTTGCATAGCCTTGAATCTTATCTAAAGTCATATCAAACAAGGTCATATTAAGCAGAATATTAGCACATTTACATTAGATGCATTTTGGCTCCAAAATATTTACTTGTCAGGACAAGACTCAATTTTTAAATCTAGGTTTTCTAAAGAATGATTGCTGCTCAGAAAGTTGCTAAAGAAAGTTTATAAAATACAAGTTTCATTTTTTTTTTTTTTTTTTAATGCAACATTAACTTTCTAGACAACGTCGGCCCTTAAAAAGGCTATTTATCCGCCGAATGTAATAAATGCTAAAACAGATTTTACCTCTTCTAATAAGAATGCCGTTTATACCAGACTGCAGTATACATATCTGGCTACTTTATTGATTCAAATTATTGTTAATTAGAGGCCAAAACGTCTCATCACATCCGTAGGCTATATAAAACAATGAACAAAACTGAGCAGTAGTACTCTTCAGTCTTTTGCACGTGATCAAAAAACTAAACTAAGTGCCAACTAGCTCTTGACCTTAATGACAACTGACATAAGCCTCTTGCAACAGAGGACACAAATATGAAGAGCTGCGCCTAGTGGGGTTAGACGATCGAGTTTGCCACGTACATTGCTCTATTATAACACGTTTTGAAAAATCCCAAGGTAAACGAGGACTGGGAAGAAAAAAAGGAGGGGGTGGGGGCAGTAGGGATGTGGATATGAAACAATGGTTCATGTGTGTGCTTACGAGTTGAAAATAAGCATATGCATTGATAAAACTCATTTTCTATTTATGCTCGAGCCCATATTCCCTTTTGGATAACCTAGCTTTCTTGGCCTATACACATTGGATTTTTCTGGTGGCAGGGGATACAAATTTATGCCTGTGAGGCCTTTAAATTACGTGAAATTCTATGGTATACCAATAAGACTATCAGCTTCCAACAGCTTGTTAGGAATGGAAAAAAGGTGACCTTAACTTCTTGCTAATCTGTCAACCCACAGGTCAACACTTTGGTCATGAGTGAAAAGAAAAACTTTAATTCTTTCTTCCATACTTTCGTTTTTTTCAAACCGTATAAAGGAAAAAAATTATTTGGCTGATTTGGAGAGCGATTTTTCTTCCTATGTTAATTACGGTGAGCCCTACGCAAACTATTTCTACATCAGTATGTAGGACTGAAAAACGTGTATAACCAGCAATTCATAACTGTCTGAAGCTATAGTTAAAGAAAAATTCCAATTTCATTGTAAAGAAGATACCTAGCATATAAATTTGAAGCTTGTTTATCTACTGAAAGAATATGATAACCCAAGTAATAGGACACGTTTCACGGCATTCTTTTCCATCCTAAAATAGGATGCTATACAGATTAAAATAAAAAGTGAGGGATGCTGGCACAAACTCTTCCTAATCATAAATGACCCTACAATAGTGGAGGTCACCGCTTGCAATTTGGCTTCCCAGTTTCGATTAGTTAACAAATTTGCTTTATATTCCTAACATGTCTGGTGCCATGAGGTTTGTTACACATTTCAAGCAACATCTCTGCTTTCGTTACTACCACATGCATATTTGCTGTACAGTAAAAGGTTTAAAAACTATGGGAATCAAACCTATGGTTTGGGAAAAATCTAAGGGTTTCACAAAATTCAGATCCCTGTGGTAATTGTATAATGCTTCCTAACCAATAAAACAACCTAACCTTAACCCACTACGATCTATACATTCCCTAGCCAGTGGTTTTAAGAAAATACGATAGATGTATTTCTTAGTCATGGAGCTCTGCCCCCTGGACCAAGGGTAAAACCACATACTTCATTAAAGTGAAACCGAGCTTTCCTTCGCTTCCGTCTATGGTTAGTGATTAGAAAAAACATTTTCTGCATTTAGGGCACTTTTTGGGCTTATCTATCAGGCTACGATAGACTATCTCTGTTCTGTATATCCACTATATGGCTTTAAAAATGATCTGGAATCAACGCAACAAAGTTTTCACACACGTTTCTCAACGATTGTATAATGAAAGTAAAAAGATTTCATTAAATACATGAATTCGGAAAAAAACAGACGCTGGTAATTACAAAATATTCGTTCTCACAAGGGCACATTAATACATACTAACTGATAGATCGTATTAAGTAGTTACGTCACATTTGTTTTGTTCCTGGCAAGATAAATACGACGGGGACTTTAAAAAATAAATGATGGGTCGATCGTTTCTCGACTCTGTCCTACATTTCCCTTTTTTTTTTAGTTGCGCTCCTTTTGTCAGATGAAAGTTTTCGGCAAGGTAACCACTAAACACTTTTTATTGTAATCCTGAAGGCAATGTAATGGTGATAGCTCCGAGATTAAAAATAATCAGATAAGAGTTGACAAAACCTTTATAGCCGGTAACAATTTAACAGGATTTCCAAGATATCTGAACACCTTAATTTCGCGCAATGCACAGCACACTGCATATGAAAGTACGGTAATTGTTTATAAAAGGACCGCACCCGTCGGAGACCAAGTCCCGAACTCCAGCCAACAATCTTGGGGGATCCCGTGGGGAACCGGGTTTTTTTTTTTGGGGGGGGGATGAATATCGAGGAGATTGCGAATAAACAGCAACAATAAAGTTCCATGAAGTAATTTTAAATAATAAAGAAAGTAGAAAAATGAAAAACCCGAGCCAAGAATCGTAATTCAAATGCTAAAGAAAGTAGAAAAATGAACCTAACCTAACCCGGACCCCCTCCCGATCGCCGTATTTTCCTATCGGGGGCTCCGCCCCCGGACCCCCTCTTGAACACTAGATTCGCCATAATCATTTTACATACCTTAGTGAGGAGGGTACAGGCGAGCTACGGCAAGGAGGAATTCGTGCAGGCGCTTATTAGACTCGGGGATGTTCATCTGGAACATCGCCCGAGCTAAGTATCCCACGAAGTGATACTTCCTCCTTCCGTAGCGGGGAACTTTCGCCTTGGCCTCTCGCCACTTCCGCTCAATGTTGTTGGTATGGGCGGCTGTCACCGGGTCCACAAAATTAACAGTGATTTACCGTTAAATGTCTGAATCCTTCGTGTTCAAGGCATTTCTATGCCTTCCAACAATCACTAATAATAATAGTACCCGGCTTAATCTTTTCTTTAATTATGCCGAGTAATGTTTCAGCGTCTCGGGATGCAACCAGTACTAGAAAAAATTGTCTTGTCTGGCGGCAGACCCCGCCAAACACCCACTGCCCCTCTATTGACCGGCCAACATTGTACTTTCGTTTCCCGAATTTGCTTTCGTCTATCTCGACAATGTAATCAGTGCCACCTATTTTTTCATAGGTGTTTCTCAGACACCATGAGACGCAAACTTCTCGGCAAAAGCTTGCCCAGGCACATATAGTTTTTTTTGGATAAACCAAGTTCCTCTTTGATAAGTTCGTATGAAAAATAATTTCTCAAGTATAAATTCACGAAAAATAAATTCGTTTCAATGTCTATATGACTATTCTCAAACCATGTGTGTTTGAAAATAGACCTCTGAAACTGGCATCTTACACGCCTATTGTGTATTTTTTTAGACTTGTCATATCTAAATTGTTTTTTGTTGAAATCAGTTCGGCAGTCTGCCCCACACTTTATACACTGTATAGTATTTAGAAGGCCATGTGCTCTACAAAAGCGAATCAGTTCTTCAGTTTCACCTGAAAAATTTTTGAAAAAGACACCAAAGCCACTTTCGCAGTCTTGACACCGGTTAGTCATACTTGAAACTGACCGGCTGTCAAAGTAGCCATCCTTCGTTTACGCGCGCAAAGTATGAAATGAAATCATTGTTAAAAAAAATAGACAGGCCTTAATTGACGAAACAAGGTCAATATGAAATAGAAAAAAATATTTTAAATAACATCTTATGTTTATGCAAGAAAAATATTAAGATTAGAAACGTATGAAAAGCTAAAAAAAACAATGGAATACACGATTCGTCGTGACGTCATGTGACGTAGGTGCGCAGTGGCCGAGCAGTCGGGGTTAACAATGCGCGAGAACTTAGTAAACATAGGTCGCGTGTGGACTTAGCCGCGTCAACGCCGAGTGGACTTAGCCGCAGCGCGGCACTCACCCCGATCTATTTTCGTCGTTTAACTGGAATCGGTAGGCTTCTGCAAATTAATTTTGATATCAGTCAATGTAGTTTTTCATTGCCTACAACGCTATGATCTTCAATTTTCTCCTAGTCGGTGCGGTCCTTTTGTAAATTTTAACCGAAAGTACGATACAACATATTCATCGTATGAAAAAATGTGAAGTATGTACTTTGTACACTGGGCACTTTTTGGCGAATTACCGGATTATACTTCAACAAACACGCACAAATGTTAGCCAATGAAAAGTTCAGAATATGACGTCAGTCCTTTCTGACCAATCAGAACTATTAATTTCTGAAAACCTTACCCTCGCCCACAAGAAAGTTCAGGGGGGTGTCTGGCCGCTGTCAAAGCAAGTGTACGTGTTGAAAAAAATACTGAAATCCGGCCGAGTTTTACAAATCGCGAAATACAGCTACCCCTGGCAATACTACCACGTGGAGGACGGCGTATTATGGTGAAGCATAATAACGGAGGCACGGCGATACAAGGTTTGTACAATTTAACGTATAACAACTGGCAAAATCTATTGCACGAACATCAAGTAATACGCAAATCATGCAATAAAATCTTGCTTCTAATTGAACAAGAATACACGCAGTATTAATACAAATTACCAATATGGCTATTGCAAGTTACCGCAGTTTAATGATTGCGTGTGCCATGACAGTGCGTAACGAAATCGGGCTAAAGCTTTCGTAGTTCCGCGGGGCGAGCAATAATGTTTAGCTGCGTGGCATGAAATTCCGCCACGGCCTCCGAAGTATTTTGGACTCAGGCAAAGGTCATTAAATTCCATCTTGCATTTTAAGACACGTATTAGCACTGGACTTACAATATTTGATAATCACTAAGGTTTGCAATCTGTTACTAAATTGTGTTCAAAGTGACAGGGAACCGTCACTAGCGCTTTTTTTTTTTTTTTTTTGGGGGGGGGGCTTTGCTTTTCTTTGTACTATTTGTAAATGCAGTCAATAAATAAAATACCGTTGCTGTGTGATATACAATTAATGAAGCCTTATGCATAACTTAATTGTAAAGGTAAAATGTTGTTCCTGCCCCCGAAGAGTTTTGATCAAACCCGATTTAAGTGTTAGTGTTTTTGTTCCGTTCTCCTGTATGTAAATCATGCTAATTCCTCCCCAAAATATAGTGCGAAGCCGATGCTTACACAGTTATCAACTGCCGTCGGGGAATACAAGTTCCACCAATCATCAACGAGTCAAATGCGACGGAAAGCAGCGGCATAACAGCGTTAAACTACGAAGGGAGATTCCATTCCAAAAAGAATGGTTTCGGAAGTCGGAGGCTGGATGGAACTGGTGAGAGATCGTAACCTAATGTCCTGATACTTCAGTGTATGCGATGGTTATCATGTAGGCTACTAAATAGACATTGTGACCCGTCTATTTTTGGTTAGTTGAAGGGAAGGGAATTAGCTATTACGGTAATAACGCGCATCGACAGCTGTGGCTTCACCGGCAGCGGATCAGGTCGTATTGATGACATGCATAGACCAGAACCCGCATATAATATATTAAATAATAATAAAGTAGATTTGTTCCAGATCAGCGACGCACT